GGGGATGGAACGATCTAATTGGCAATGGCCTTGCTTTGAGCAAGGGGCTGGGCTAGATGACTTTCTGAGGTCCCTTCCAACCCTAATTGTCTAGGATTTTAAGTTGCAGGTCTTTCTGCAGGGGAGAGTAGGCTGCAGGCTGGGATTCCTCTCCTTTCCCTTCCTCTGCTCTCTCTTCTCCGTTTCAAGGGCAAGACACTACCTTGAAACGGGCTGCTGCTTAGCTGAGGTTGTGGTGCCATTAGAGTCAGTTGGCACCACCTTCTCCCAGCTCTTGATGTCAGCATCCATTTTCCTGACATACAGGTCTTCAGTGTTTCCTTGTAGCATTTCCTCTGGCCACTGTGAGATCTCAGGCTATTATTAAACTGGGAGTAGAGCACTTGTTTTGGAAATTGAGAATCAAGCATCTGCATACAATGTTCAGTCTGGCAAATTTTTGCTTGAGGATCACTGACTCAATGCTGTTAATATTAGCTTCAGCGAGGATGTTGACATTTGTGTGGCAATCTTCCCATGTGATATGGAGAGTTTTCTGGAGGCGTCATTGGTGATACTGCCATTACTCTCCATGTGAAGGACTCTCCCATTTCCCCCTTCTCCATCATGCCAGTTCCCCCTTCCCCTACACCTATTTCCCTCCCTCATTATGCTTTTCTTTCTGTCTGGAAGTTAAATCATTCAGAGAGTCAATCAATTAAACTCTGCTGAGAGGCTGGGCAGAGATGAGATGGGGTATTCTTATGCTGGAAGGTGCTAATCGGAGCCATCATGCTGTTATTGCCTCTACAAACAATAGAAGAGGGGCCTGAAACTTACTGTGCCAATTAGATTGCTAGAGTTCCTTGGGTCCCGCATTTTTCTGTCTTCCTGATTTTCCCCACCCTCAATAAGTTTCTGCTAGCTGAGGTCTTGAGCATTCCTTGCAGTGTTGGAACTGATCGGATGATTCATTCAAACACCATCACTTGATATTGCAAAAATGCAAGGAGAGGATTGGCATCAAGTAGAGGATAAAGCCTGGTTAGTTATTTGTATTTATGTAGCACAAAAGAACCCCAGTCATTGTCCATGACCCCATTGTACTAGGGGCTGTATAAACACAGAACAAGAAGAGGACTCCCTACCCCAAAGTCTTATAAAAGATAACCCAATGGTGCTATAGCTCCCAGACCAGATCCAGTCCTCAAAGTGACTGAATCCAGTCAGTGGCACAAGGGATAAGTGGCAAGCAACTTGGCCTAGCACATCTCCTTCCCTGCCCTGCGTCATGCTGCTGATACCTTACATAGGCTGGAGGTAAATTCTCTTCCTCCCCTCCCTTTGACATTGGCAGTCACCTCCCTACCCATACACTTCCTCCCCACCTCTGCCTTCAGTATTCCAAATCATTACCCACTCCAATGCCCCCTTGAGCACTGAAGTCCTGCCATGCACCATTTGAACAAGAATATGCCCACACCAGACTTGATGTAACCTTACTGGTTCACATTATTCAGTATTCATTCATTTAAATCCAAATTGTGATTCCAGGTCAAAACTGCTCCCAGGAATGGCTGGATTTTTACTAGCGAGTGAAAACAAAACAGCTGACCTTTTTAAAAGGAAAATATGCTGCATCTTGGTCTCCTTTGCCTACCTTTTTCACAACGTACAAGCACAGCAACTGACACAGTTATCAGAACAACTGGAGTAGGAGCAGCCTTGCTTTGTGTACTAATGAACCTCAGTACTGTTCAGCAGCAGCCAGATTTTGCCTTTACTGCAAGTCCTAATGGCATCCCTATTGTACTGAGACACAGAGAGAGAGAGAGAGAGAGAGAGAGAGAGAGAGGGTAGCTGTGGGGTTCAATTGGGGCATGTCCAAACAGAGGTATAACCGACTGCCTGAGCACCCTGGGCACAGAGCAGTGCTATTGGCTGTGCTCCCAGCAATGTGAATGCAACAGGGCTTGCAGTACAGCTGCTTCTATTTTTTGTGGTCATCCTCTCCTCCCCCCTCGTTATGCTACTTTAAAACAGTGCTGTGAAACAAGGCAAATTAGCCCATGCAGAGCCCCATACTGCTGTAACTAGACTGCTTCCAATACTTGCCTGAGGACATTCAGTGACAGGTTGGGTAATTCTACGCTACACTGAAGGCTGCATTGTAGACATACATTCAGAGTATCTTGAGCCATTGGACAGAGCTGTGATCAAATGTAAACCCTTTTAATGTTTGGTAACAATTGCCAGCAGAGCTGTGGGGACAGCAATTTCTGCAAGCAGGCAAAATAAATTATTCTAGTGATCCAGAAATCTCACCTGCTGTGCGCTGCCTGGTTTTGTCTTAAAAAAAAAAAAAAAAAAAAAAAAAAGACAAACAAAAAAACCAAAAACTCCTGGACTTATGCGCTTTATCTATATACATTTCTTAGCTGTTACTGGAGTAACTAGCTGCTTCTTTGTTACAGCTATTATTAGTATGAATGGTGGTATCACAAATAAATTATTGTATCAAAGCCTGCCACACACATTAAAACAATAATTGCTTCGCATCATAGAAGGAAGCTTTCCCTCATCAAACTGAGTGCTGATATTTAACATATTTATTAAATGGAGATACCCGACCAGCAGTCTTCAACTGAATATAAAATTCAGATCATATCCATCCCTTTGAAGCCATTAAAAGGATCACCATTTTGATGCCAAAGACAGCTGCAGTTGAATTTTTCATCGTCTCACCTTTCCCTCATTAGCCTACAGTTATATACTGGTGGAAAAGTCCATTCTGCCAGGAGATGGAATAGTTTCTGATACACATGGATCAGTTTAAAATCCTGATTCTGGCTCTCCAATCTCAGACCTGTTGAAAGTAATAACCCCATCTCTTCTATTTATCACCACCACAGAAACTGCTTTACAATTCCCTCTAGACTTACTGAGCTATATATTTATCTGCCTGCTTGCTTGGTTCATAAAAATTCTGTCTGCCTCTACAGCTCTATGGAAAATAAAGTCTGTTTTCCAAGTTAGCATTTCAGACAGCTTAAGCCAAGGCATGGTGAGTTCGTTATGTGCTGCCATAGTACCTGTTACTCTGTGTCTCAACGGTAGTTCATGTACTTCTTTCCCTGACATCTGTTTACGTTCATTAGCAGCCGGCCTTTTTCTCTCTTTAGTTGAATAACTAATGGCCCATCCTCTGCACACAGCCTTTATCCTTCATCATTTTGCAGACTGTTGAACACAAAGGAGTCCAATCTCATTATGTTTACTATTTCTAGAGTTTTCATGGCATTGGAGAGACTAGTTCAGGGTCTGTAGGTGTGGTTTGGTTAAGTATCCATATTTCCTCCTTGGCTCGATTAGTGGGAAGTTCAGCTACCTTAACTTGCACCTGGTGTGGGTCTTACAAATATTTTTCACCTTCATTTTAATGATGATTTAAATAGTAAATTGTTCACTCTGAAAATGGAATTATTTCTGCACCAAATAAGTCTACTACAGGCAACAAAAGGTGCAACATCATGTCCCGAGCATGACATATCACCACCATGACATGTAAGAATTATGCCTCTCTCTGCCCTTTTCCATGTAGTTACCCAGTTAGCCTTCACAGGTGACATTGCTAATAGAAATTCCATTTTGGACCCACTGTCTTGAGTTTGGCTACCAACTCTGGATATCTGACCTCTAGATAATGATCTGAAACTATCAGCCCAGCTACTTAGGCCTATGAAAAGTCAGCCTATGGTAATAGGTGCTTATGGACCTAAACTGGGTTCATGTTTGAGGCAGAAGCAAGACACACTGGAAATAATTGCTGGTCTCAAGATCTCTAGCCTATTTATAGCAGTATAATTGTATCCATTTCATCTTTTCATTCTGAAACTCAAAATCACATTAATTCTTTATCATGCCAAAATTCTCTCTTCTGAGAATCACTAAAGCAAACAAATAAACCACAATTAACCCCCTGCTAATTATGTTAATTATATTATACTTCTGAAATATTAACAAGTATGCTCTCTATTTAGACCTGTCTGCCTAAGGCAGCTTCCCATATTATATTAGACTTCATATTTCTCACTGCAGGCAAATTGTTGATCAGATTAGGTAGCAGGACAAACAAAACCTGCACACAATAAGAACTGCCAGAAAAACAGGATAAAAATGACAAGAGACCAATCCCCAGGAATGTGTCAGAAAAGTTCACTATAAGAAAAATGGGTATGGGCATCATAGACTAACATGTTTGTAAATTGTCACAGTGTTCATCTATTATGCCCATTACTGCCACACCTAGATCTGTTTATCTAGTTAGTTAGACTATCAGCCCTCTGGGTAAAGACTCTGTGAAAGTGTATAGTAGGCAGCATATAGGGAACCTTATCATGACTCAGGCCCCTCGCTTCTACTGGAATACAAACACTAAGTAATGTATCATTTTCTGTAAGCAACATTTTTTTTATTCCCATATGAAGTCCCTTAATGTTGCCCAAGAAGTTGAAGAGGTAAACAAGAATCAGCGCCTTGGGTGTTAAAACAAGTGATGGATATTTGAAAAAACAGACAAACAAAAAAAGGAAAAAGTCACAGAATCAGGAATTATGTGATGAACACCGCCCCCCCCAAATATAGCCTTAAGCATTCTTTGTCCAACAAATACTGAGAAAAGTCTGACGCATACCCACAGCATTCATTTAAACAGAAGTATGAACAATGTTATATTGAACACCCTAAACCAATGTACTTGATAAAGAGTTCAGAGATAAATAAGTTATGTTTTGAGGTTTACAACCTTCATTTAAATCATCTTTATCAACCACCCAGAAACAAAAACATCTCCTACAAGAATCTGATCACACCAACCTTTCAGGGACAATGGTTTAGGAACAGTCTGACCCAACACTTGGACAGTGCCAGAGTGAAGAAATACAAACACACCTTCAAAGTGACAAAGATGAAACATTGCACGCCATAGAAAACATCCTCTCAACTCTCATATACATACTCACAGTCTACCTCTTTCTGCTTCATTCCTCACCCACCAAGTCTCTCTCTCTTTTTTCTTTATTCCTTCTCATATTTGAAGGCCACCTGCTGGAACAGTGAATTTAGAATGTGATTTAATCCAAAGCTCATGGAAGTTATATTCCACAAGACAAAAGAAACTACTCAAGTTCTGTGAAACTTCTCCCTAACATGGAACACGCATTCACTTAGAAATCACGGACCCTGCTAAATGTAATTATTTTTCCCTAGAGGTATTAGAAATGGGACGGGGTTTCAAAATAAGTATGGTTTTTAATGTATTTAATTATTTCTACCTGCAGCATGCCTGATAAAAGATGCAGCTACTAAATAAGAAGTAGTGATTAACTGAGTGGCTTTTTAAACTAAGCTATGCAGCATGTAAAATTAGACAGGCTCTATATTTATTAAAGTTCACTAGTATACCCAAAGAACTATAATATGTGATGCATGTAATGAAGCCATGATAAGATTTACATTTTAGCCAAAAAGTCTTGAAACAGCTGATATCTACAGCAATACCTTTTAGATGGAAGATGAATCCTCCGTCACCATATAAGCTCTATCTAAACAAGTATGGACAGATGAAACCGATACATCGAATTAAAAAAAAAAAAGGAGGGGGAATTTCTTACCCATGAATGCATATCAGCTGATCTGTTGGGTGTAGCTGCTGTCTCCTGAAGTGGAAGCAACAACATGGTGAATTTCCCTTTGAATGAAACAGCTGCTAGATTCCACTTACTGCAGAAAAAAGCAGACACATGAAACGGGTACAATGAATCAGCTCAATACACTACTCATTTTAAACCAGTAGGATTTTTTCCGTCTAAGGATAGCCAAAAGATATTAAGAGCCTGCATCTATGTTGAGATAAACCTCTCTCTCTCTCACAGTACTGTCTGTCAGCAACATCCATCCGCAGGACCCTTTATAACACATTGCACACAAAGCTAGGGCTTTTTTTTTTTTTTTTTTTATATATATACACTTAATTTAGTATTTGTAACAAGTGTTGAATCTGACTACTTCTGAAACTGAAGCCATCTATTTGTCCTCACAAATGCAGCACACCCAATATTAGCAACAGCTCACTGTCTGCATCAATCCACTGTTGTTTTTAGATATTACCCTTGGCATGAGTTAAACACTTAAAATCTGAGCATTTGCATGTTAAAGCACAAGAAATTGTGCTTAGTGCACTCCGATCACCTTTAAGTTACACCTCTTCGGGCAAGGAATATCTCAGGCTGCTGTTAAGCACCTTGTGTTGTGCTAATATCAGTCTACTTGACAGGGCCAATAGAAACAAATTGCAGTCCTCCAGCATCCCAGGATACACCGTTCACAGCACCTCCATCCCAACACACATGTGGAAGATCTATTCTCCTGAACTCTACTGTCTGGAAAGATGGAAAGCCAAAGAGCCAGACAGCTGCAGGAGAGCCGGTGAACTGAGCAGCCACTGCAGAGCCACAGGAGATCCCCAACAAGTCAGCAGCCACCAGATGGCTACAGGAGAGTCAGGCAGCCATAGGAGAGCAAGAGAGCACCAGCAAGCCACTGGGCAGACTTGGCAGATCTTAGCAAAGGCCCTACTCACCTGCAAGCTGGACTTGTGCGTGCAAGAGATCGTGGGTGCGTCTCCAGGGGACCAGTTTACTCATGGGTAAGTTACTTGTAGACTCCTGACCAGAACCATTTAGTTGCATGTGCAGGGAAGCAGGAGCAGATGTGTTGCCTGTGGCAGCAAGCGGCTTCCACTTCCTGGGGCCCCCTCAGTGGGCCCCTGCTACCACCAGGGGGGGAGCTCCAGGCTCCCCATAGGTGCTAGCCCAGGGACTAGCAGGGAACACTGGACTGGGACATTATACCCTGCCCCCATGGGCTGCCTACTGCTGGGGCAGGGACAATGTCCCCCTGCCCTGGCAGCAGGGAGCTCCTGGTCTTGGCTCCCCGATCAGGGCCAGGGGACATGCAAAGAGCTGCAAGGGAAGGGCAGGTCCCAGCCCCCTGCCCCAGTTGGCCAGTGGGGCAGCTAGCAGCTAGCTCACCTACTGCCTGATTGGGGCAGGGGGCTGGGACCTACCTCACCCCTGCAACTCTTTCCAAGCCCTGTGCCTCAATCACCTGATTGGGTCACAGAGCTGGGACCTGGCCCTGACCGAGACAGTTTTCAGCCCCTACTCTGCATGTGGGGTGAAGGCTGGGAACCTGTTCCCCACCCAGCTCTGAGTATGGAACTCAGTATGGGTGAGCCAGGAACAAGCTCCCCAGCCTGTTCTCCACCCAGCTCTGAATTCATAGAGCTGGGTGGGGAACAGGATCCCCAGCCCCACCACCAGCTCTGCACCAGTGCTGGGAGACCATTATCCCCAAGTATCACCCAGCACTGGCCCTGTGGTATGGGGCTGGTGCTGGGAGATAAGGGTCTCCCAGCCTCTGCTCCCTAATCATGATCTTGGAGCCAGGGGCTTGGAGCTCCCTGCTGCCAGGGTAGGGGGACATAGTCCCTGCCCAAGATCCGGTGGTGAAGCCCATCCCGGCAGTAGACAGCTCCTGGGGGGCAGGAAGCAATCTTCTGCACCCTGGTGGATGGCTGACTGGGATCAGATTTTCTCCTGGTCAGAAGTCTACACGAGCACTACTGTGCCATTACTAATAGAAAGTAATATTGCTACTTGCATTTGCCACCTCTCTGGGTAACCTGTTCTAGTGTTTTACTACCCTCCTAGTGAGAAAATTCTTCCTAATATCTAACCTAAACTTCCCTTGCTGCAAGTAGAAAGTGTTGCTCCTTGTTCTGTCATCTGCCACCACTAAGAACAGTCTAGCTCCATCCTCTTTAGAACCCCTCTTCAGGTAGTTGAAGGCTACTAAATCCCCTCTCCATCTTCTTTAGACTAAATAAGCCCAGTTCCCTCAGTCTTTCCTCATTAGTCATGTGCCCCAGCCCCCATCACCATTTTCACTGCCCTCTGCTGGACTCTCTCCAATTTGTCCACATCCTTTCTGTAGTGTGGGGCCCAAAACTGAGCACCATACTCCAGATCTGGCCTCACCGATGTGGAATAATCACCTCCCTTGACCTCGTGGCAACATACCTACAATGCAGCCCAGTATGCTGTTAGCCTTCTTGGCAACAATGGCACACTGCTGGCTCATATTCAGCTTATTGTCCACTGTAACCCCCAGGTCCTTTTCTGCAGAGCAGCTGCCCAGTCAGTTAGCCCCCAGTCTGTACTGGTACATGGGATTGTTCCATCCTAAGTGCAGGACTTTGCACTTGTCCTTGTTGAACCTCATGAGATTCCTTTGGGCCCAATCCTCCAATTTGTCTAGGTCACTCTGAAGGCTAGCTCTACCCTCCAGTGTATCTACTGTTCCATCTCGGTGTCATCTGCAAACTTGCTGAGGGTGCACTCTATGCCATCTTCCAGGTTGTTGATGACAACAGTGGACAAAACTGGCCCCAGGACTGACCCCTAGGACACTCAACTTGATACTGGTTGCCAAGTAGATATTGAGCCATTGATTACTACCCTCTGAGCCCGATGCTCCATTGAGTTTTCTATCCACCTTACAGTCCATGCATCCAGCCCATACTTCCTTAGCTTGCCTGTGAGAAAGTTGTGGGAGTCTGTTCAATGAAACAAGTGTGTCCAGCATTGGCGATGCGCAGGGGGTGCACGTGCACCTGCAGAGATTGGCAGTGCACCCCCTGAAAGAAGCGCCACCAGTGCTGCTGGTGGCACCTGCAGGCAGTTGCCGCTTGTCATCTCCCTCCCACCACTGCCACTGCTGCAGCCACCTGTGGGAGCTCCCCGCTCACCACTGCCATGCCCTGCTGCCACCACCTCTGCCTGCAGGCAGTCGCTGTGCCCCCCCAGCCTCCGGGGGCATACATCGTTCATAGTGTCCAGTCCTTTTTCCTCCACTTCTTCTCCAATCTCTTCCTTGTCCTGATTGATGTGAAATTTCACTGCATGCAGCCTCAGCTTCAGGTACTGTCAGTGAAAGCCAACCCCTCAAAAACCCAGACGTTTCTTAGTTTCCATATACAGGTTTTAATAATTGCTAACAGTGCCCTTAATACCGTTTCCTCAGGCCCCTTTGATATGAGCCTGTACAGTACCATTTCTTGTGTTAAGGACTGGCTTATTTTTGTGACACTCAAATGATGCACCTACACACAACCTTTGCATATATACAGTCCTCATATACATGTCCCACCATTTTTTATCTCTGCACATCTCCCTTGGACACACTGCTCTTCTTGCCAAGCTCTATCTATGTCTCACCTATCTCACCAGCATGACATTTCATATGATCAGGCATCCTAGATTAGCATGCTCCCCTTTCTCTTGTGCATCAACCACCTCCCCCACACCTTTTTCCACTTATCCATTTCTAAGGTCCTTCACTGATGCCATCCTGTCTCTCTCTCATAATTTTTGTTAGCCTCTTGTGACCTTTCAGGACCTCCAGCCCCATCACTCCTGTTTTGTACATCCTTATAAAACTTTCCATTCTTATGTAATGAATGGAAAGCTGCCATGGCTTCTTCCATAAGCCCCCTCATATATTCCCCATCTTTTCACGATCATACCTGTCAAAAATTGACTAAAGCATGCCATTTTACCTACTCCCTCTGTAGCTGCTTTACACATTACACTTATCTGGTTTGTGTAAATGAACAACCTTATGTCCAGCATTCTCCATCTCTTTCTTTATACAGTTCTGTTCTAGCTAGTTTCTCTTTTCACTTTCCAAAAGAACATGCGTATTTCCCTTTGTACTTTTGCCAACTGCTGCCTTGATGATAGAAACACATTTGCAATAGCACTGCCTTAACTATTGCCACTTTTACAGCAAAGGAGCAGCGTCCTTCCTGTCCACAAAAATAATACTTGTCATTCCCTCACTGTCACCTTTTCCTGACTGCTTTATAGATCAATGTGCGTTTCTGTTCTCCATTTGTAAAATTAGGTTAAATCCTCACTGATGAAGTGCGTCTTGCATTCAAAAGCACGTCAAACTTTATTCCAACTATGCAGCTGGTCCAACAAAAGACATCATCCAGAAAAATCCTTGCCCCTCACACAGTTCCTGACTATCATGGCTACAACATCACTCCAAGACTGTTAAATCAAAGGGTTAGTGTGAGGATAAACACATTAAAGGACTCTAAGGAGCACAGATATAATGATAACAGGGCCATGAGTACCCTCTAGCAAATAGGTAGCTGGGAAGCCACTTTATTTCCTCAGAAAAAATTAACTCACATAATTACATTGTAAATACATCCATCTGTTTCCCAAATCCTCAGCATTGCCATAATTTTTTTAGATGAATGCAATTTTCATTACTGTTAAGCACTGATAGCCTGTGTAATATTATCTTGGCATTTTTTTCTCTTTGCATAAACCCCAAAATGTATGCTTTAAATGAAGGTGAAATCTAACAAGAATCACTATAGAGCAAGAGATAATTATTCTACAGTACTGAAGAGCCAAATACTTAATGTGCAGTGAAACTTTGGAACAATGCACCTGGGTGTGAATATTTCCATAAGTAGACAATTTAAATGATGAAACATCCATGAGGTTGACCATTAGCAATATCCAGGTAATTTATGCGAGCATGTATAAGGTTATTAAAAAAGATGCTGTAGATTTACAAATTATTTTAGTTATATGTTAACCTTACATGCAAGGCTGAAGCTGGAACCATAGGG